CCTTATCATTTTTATTCATTTTAATTAACCTTCCAATCACAAAAACTCTTTTCCTATCTTTTATTTCTTTTTTAAGGGTATTATAAATAAATATAAAAATTATCTTTATATACTTAATTTAGAGAAAAAGCAAAGACAAATAGTTATTTTAGCATAGAAAAGTCTATGATAAATTCATTAATAAATACATTTTATACATTTTTTTAATAAATTGCTTATTTTACATGTTTTATTTTCATCAACTAAATATATTTTTTCCTTTAACTAAATATCTATTTTTATTTGTTAGACTCTTTTGCCATGTATTTTTTTTGCTTGTAAAACTAATAATTTTAATCAATCTGTTACGTATCATTTTATCTTTCTTCTTTTTATAATAAATATTAATGTCACTCATATTAAGAATATTATAGTCTCTTTGCATTACTTTTAGTTTTAAGTTATATGAATTATTATTTATAAAACATTTAATACATTTTAAAATATAAAATTATTATGCCATTAAAATCATATAATAAATAATTATTAATTTTAGGTTAATATGGAAGATAAATTGTTACCTTCATATAAATATAGTTAACTTTTAGCATGCATTTAATAATTAATATACATTGTAATTGTAATATCTCAAATTTTCGGGAATATTATTAGGTTAAATGCTAAATTTGGTCCCTCAACTTTAGTGAGTTGCACATTTTTGATCCCTCAACAATTTTTTGCATTTTTTTGATCCCTTAACTATACGAAATGCACTCCGTTAGTCTTTCTGTTAATTCGAGCCGTTAACTCGCTCATGTGGCATTTTTTATAGTTTTTTTTATGACGTGGCAAAAATAATTTTACAAAACGTTGATCTGGAATTTTTTTTAAGCCACGTTAGTGCCAACTCACCACCAACTCATCAACCAATTTTGCCTTAATAAAAAAATAAAAAATTATACATTTACCCATCTCCTTTTTTTTATTCATCTTCTTCCCCTCTTTCGATCATCTTTTTCCTTTCTTCTTTTTCTTTTTCTTTCTTCCTCTTCTTTCTTCCTCTTCTTCCTCTATGTCTATTGGGTTCGGTGGAACCCAGATCAGCTGGGTTCGAGGAACCCAAATCAGCTGGGTTCGAGGAACCCAGCAACTGGGTTCCACCGAACCCAGCTCGGGTTTGATGACTGGGTTTGAGCTGGGTTCCTTTGCTGGGTTCGAGTTGGGTTCTGTCGAACCTAGCTCCACTTTTTTGTTTTTTTTTTTTGTTATATGTTGGTTTGCGAAGAGATTATCCAAGACATTATATGTTTGTTATATGTTCAAAATGGAAATGGAAAGAACA